AATCAAAAGTATAAAATTAATAATCTGTTAATGTATTGCAAATAAATAGAATAAAAGTTCACTTACCGAATTAAAACTGAACGAGATTACGCAGTGAGAACGAAATCTGGCAACGAAATAACTTCCAAACAGATCACAAAGTTTAGAACGAAATGCGGAAAGAAAAAAAAACTAATGTTATTAAGAGGTTTTTATGTAGCCAAGTAGCTCCTGTTTAAAATTGTGTACAAAAGGTAATCCATCCATAAAATCCCTTGTCATGTGTATTAAAAGTTAGGGGGTGTACATAAGGGGGGAGGGTTGTATTTGCATTACTGTATTTCATGATAAAAAAAATACAAATGGGTGCACCAACAATTATGCATATTTTGAAGACCATATTTTTTCATGCACACCCTGAAGGAATGTCAATATCATTGTAGAAACTGTTCATCTTTTTATCCATGGGTATATTTGATAGAACAATCATATTTCATCAATTTAGCTATTAATGACACAATTAAATAAGGAAACTTACTGACTGGGCAGAACTAGTATTTGAATAAAATAATATGAAAAATTAAAGTGATTTTTCTAAAAAGACTATTAACAAATTGGTAGTTTCTAATGGAATGATAGTCTCACAAAAAACTCAAAACCCCAACAGATTGTATCTCACAAAAACATACCATCCCCATCCCCACAGATTGCTAATCAAAGTTCATTTCTAACAGTTTGCTTATAACAATTGTGCCATTAACAGATTACTATTCAAAAAAATTCCATCCCCACAGATTGCTACTGAAAACATTCCATTCTAACAGATTACTAATCAGAAACAAAATCATCCATCCTTACAGGTTGCTTCTCACATCCGTCCTAACATAAAAACACTTCTATTATAACAGGTATTGCTAAAAAAATGTTCCTAAGCTCTACTGATTTCTACTTGCAAAATCAAGGTACCACACAGATTCCAATATATTGGATATATATTCCAATATATTGGATGGAACATCATTCCAATATATTAATATTGCTAGACAACAGACAATCATATTTTTTACAGGATGTACCCAATGAAAAAGCTGGTTTGCTGGTGAAAACAAAATAGGCTTCTGTTTAGCTGTTTCAGGGCTCAAATACTTTATATATTGTAAATTGTAATCTGTACACAATCACAATAATTGTAACACAATAAACAATTATTATTTATACAAAAAAACTTCTCTTGTTAAAAAATGTAAATTTCAACAGACCAAAAATATTTGAAATATATAAACCTCAAACTAAATAGTTAAAACTGATGGAATTAATTTTTAAATTAAAAATCTTGTATTGGGTGGAAAAAAGTGTCATTCACCTCTATTAATTCTAAACAATAGGCTAAAGCAATCAACAGCTGACATGTCAGTGAACCACAAACAGCTGTTGCATGCTCAGTCAGTCCCTGGACATATTTTTAGTGGTGGTTAATTTATAGCCTTCCCACATTTATACTTACAGCTGACCTATTTAACTTACTGTAATTAAGGATTCATTAACACAATGAAATCAAACCTAAAATTGCATGACTCTCAAGGCGATTTTAGTGAGGTAAATTTTAATGCGTAGAACTCTTTCATAGTTTGATATTGTAAAGGAACCAGTGTATTTAGAAGAATCAAGATTTGAAAACTTGTAATTTGTATTTAGAGTAAACTGCATTATTCGTTGATTTTTTATTCCGTGTTGATAACAATAATAAATACTGTAACTTATTTATCAGGATCGTAGGGTTATTAAATTACCTGAAAGTACAAAAAATATGTCTTGTAAATAACACTTGTAATAATTTATTTACACTTATGACTAAAAGATTGTAATAGTGATTGATATCGGTTGGAGTGTCCAATTACAGGCGTTATTAGGTACTTTTAAATTACAAATGTGTTGATTTAATAAAAAAATACTGTAAACTATTTTACAGCAACATTGTTATTGTACTGTTCTAAATGTGTTTGACTTGGTTTGAAAAAATGTAAATAACAGGAGGACATGTAAATTAAAAACTGTGGGCTAAGATCTTTCCAAAATCGGATGCTAAAAACATTTATTTTTGTTAACTTTCAATGTAATAGTTTTTCAAAGTTTGGAACAATTTAAACAATAGTCAACAGTTAGATTATGTTAGCGTTATCGGCTGCTGGTGTTCTGTTTACAATGGTTTATTCAGTCCCAGCTAGAGCGTATTTCTGGACGCATCCAATGTTGACCCATTTCAAAACTGGGGCAGGTTGGGTTGTCCACGTGCACAGGTCAATGACCTTTCAACCCCTCCACCCCGTTATCAGTCTTTTCCTCTCACATTCATCACCTGTTTTACAATCAAAGCTTTTCAGCTACTGCACACACGAATTAGAACAGAAACCGTATGGATCACAAACATAAACAAATGACGTCACTGACCCGAAGGTATTTTTTTTTTTTGCAGTAACAGCTGTAACAGGAGGTATTTTTTATTTATTTATTTGAATTATTAATAAAAAAAAACATGTTTACTTTCGGGTCAGTGACGTAATTTATTTTGTTTATGATCTAAACCTTTTACATTTTAATGTTTCTGTATTATATCACAAACCAATGCAAAATTCAATAAATTATGACGATTCATCGATGGTTGTTATTAAATAACCTTAAGCATCTGTGAACATTAATCAACGATTGTTGTTCTAAGAATAGAATGGATTTTGAAAAATAAAGTTCCAACATTTGAAAACACTAAAATACCATTTAATTTTTCGGGTTTTTATGTATTTTTTATATGCAGGAAATTCCCTTTTCCATGCTAGGTCAGCTAGTATTATTGAATTGCTATGTACACATACATTCAGTAGTTTATTGGCTATTTCTTAAATAATTTTCTACATCATAAATACTGTGAAATGGCCGAATAGTTCTCTTAGATGTTTAGGAAATTCGTTTACGTTTAATTAAGAATAGTTATCAATGTGCCCACTTTTTGATTTTACTATAAAACATTGAATATACATACCATTGACTAAGGAAATAAAAGTGTTTCCCTTTGTTTCCCTTGTCTGTGTACATACGTACATAAACATTGGAAGGCTCAAATCGATGAATTAGTTTAATATTCATATAAATATAAATCAAACCTTTTAATAATAATATAAAAATCTATGCCTCAAAAAGTTATTTTTCAAATATATCAGCAAACACTTTTAAATCTACTGGGGAGAAAATATAATATGTAAATACAAATGAAATACTTTTTCGGTTGTATTAATTGAGTAGTTTGGTTCAGGATACTTTGCAATACAATACTAACTAAATTGCTACCAAAGCATTCAAATATACACAGTTAAAGTTATGCGACACTGCTACACTGCTTCACATATCTTAGTTTATCTGTTGTTTTTCTCGTTACTCTGTGGCATACACTATTCGCACTATCAGCTGATGACTTGCTGTGCGTTTCCGCTTTGATAAGTTATCAGCTGAGGTCGGCCATGATGCAGAGTCATGACTTTCTTGCAGACAAGACGTAAGAGAAAGATAAGCTATGTTCCGACTCCAACTAGGGATTGGTTTAAGTTGACGAAGAAGTAAAATGTGCATCTTCAAAATGTGCCAATATCAATCTTCACCTACTCATTCATATACACTACGTTACAATTCACATAATGCCATCTCACTCAACGTCATTCCGAGACACTTCCATTACAACGGCATTACACTTTTTAATCCCTTCAGCTGGAGCCGGACTTGGTCATCCGCTTCAAAAGGCAAGTAAAAAAATACTCTTGGCCAAGTGTTGCTACAGTGTCCGTGAATGTGTCGCTCGAAGAAGCTTGGCACTCGTAAATCTAGTTTGAAGCACAATTGTTTTATTTTCATTTTAGACGTAAAGATATATTATGTTTGACATGATCATGACTAATGCAAATCTGTATTTGTTACTTTAAGAGTGTGTGAGCAGGTCTTGTGTTGATTAAGGTTCAAAGAGTAAATTTTGGAATGTCACAGAATGTTCACATAGGATATAAACCAAACCTAACCCATTTCAACGTGGCGTACAATCAGAAAATATAATTCGAGATAATTTATCGAATTTACGTTTTACTTAAGAAATGAAATGCCATTGAGATTTTAGACCCTACCTCTATATTAAGTTTGAAGCCAATCGTTTTAATGCTTCAAAAGTTACGGATTTATGTAAAAATATAATACAGACAGACAGAAAACTAGGCATTTTAGACCCACGATTTTTTTATGGATTTGACCTTATATTTACGAAATCGTGTCTAGGGATTTTGTATACACTCTGTAGGCTTAGTATGAATATTTGGCATTTCACTTTCTACATAAAATCCCAAACTGTCAAGTTTCCTTGGAGTCGCAGGATGGGATGACATCACTGCGAGACCCGAGGTTGATGTTTGGAGGTCGTCCAATGGCGTGCCTCTTCAGATCTGGGTCACAGACAGCTGCCTCCACAACACAACAACACAGTAACCAGCTGATAGAGCCATGGAGTGAGAATATTTGGATTTGTCTCATTTTGGCTCAAAAGTGTCAAAAACGTACGATAGTTTTTTGGATGTATTTTCTGCAGAAAATGGGTTTATAGAACACGGTTTCAAAAAGTTCCGAGTATATATTGTTGTCTTTTTTAAAATAAGTTACCGTACTGTACAGCATACACTTATGCGTGAGCTTTAGACGTAACTAATTACAGCTAATTATTTTGAATAACTGGTTAATTTATTCTACTACTACCCACAGCTTGAATAATCTGACAAAACCATAAACATAATAAACACCACACGTTCACGTAAAATTCAACACATTCAACGAAAATAGTTTGTTCTTGGTAAAACATTCTTGTAGAGTTTAAACCAGCCGATCAGCAGTAATAGTGACAATTTTCCTATGATAAAATTCTTCAGGATCGAACCAGATTATATTTCCTCAGTTTTCAGACATGGCAGACATTTTAATTTATACATAACATTACTCACAACTTCTGCAATCTTGAGGAGGCCTGGAGCTGTTTTGCAGTAGCCAGTGTTGAGGATGATGGCTGACGTCGTGGTGGACGTCGTAGTCCGAGTCACCGTTACTGTGTGAGACATCTGCAAAAACACAAAAAAAAACATAGAATTAAAAGAGGAAACGTATTGGCAACAAGAAATCTACAGGCAAATGAAAATGTGGAAGAAAATTTGATCATTAAAAGCATGAGGAATAGGAAAAGGTGAGAGGGATCTAGGGAATATAAACATTTATCTAGCGGGTTTTTGGAGAGTCTGGTGAGGGTTTTCAATCAGATACTGAAAAGAAGGGAACAATATAGATAACAAAAACGTTAGTGAAGGATGCGTTGATGGAATATTTCAAGGAGCTGAAAGGACACGAATGAGTGGGGACGTAAGATTATGTACTGGATGACCTAACCAGAGAGGATAATTTTGGTTTGAAATATGTAAGTGAAGGAGTAAAATAAAGAATAAGTTACTCTACTACACGTTAGGCATAAAAGACACATGGAAAAGTCAATATTCTAACTGAGAAATCTTTGTTTTGAGAAGAATATTGTGGTGCAGTGCAGCAGAATGGAGCCTTGAGCCTGAAGGAAGAGATACATAGAATGGGTCATGTTATGAGGATAGAGAAATAGAGAATCATAGGGTTCCTAAAGTAATCTGTAGGCTGGGACCATCGGAGGGGCTTTTAAAATGGCAAGATTTGCAGGATATCTTTGAGGAGGCTTGGTCGATTGCAACTTGCAGCCGGATAAGGGTTGAGGAAGGATAGAGAGTGTACTGTGCAGTATAGGGATGACTAAGCATTGTCCAAGCTAATTGTACCGACACTTAAGAGAAGGGCTGAAGTGCCATGGAGTAAGTAATAAACATAGAGGAATATAAACTAAGCAGCAGTAATCAAGTGGTTCCAAGATTGAACCATACCTTTTGATGTTCCTCGGAATCAATTTGGCGATTTATTTTTGCATTCCGTTGACAATCACTCACTCTAAATTGCCAAGAAGCATGAATAGGGATGAATTGTTTCTGATGCGACAGATAACAGCTATCTAATACATCTCCACCTAAACTAGTTCTTAGATTCTTGGATGAATCATTGATCAACGCCCGTTAACATGATTAAGCGACTGCTTGTCATAATGTGTAGTGACTGTACCTAGCGTTACATGTACAGTCGGGTCAAATATGCTCGAAAATAACTCGGTAAACACAGCATTGTTAATAGTCGTCCTCCCCTCTACACATCCTACAACATAGATGTAACCTGAGAAGTGTGTAAAGTGGTACTTTACCTAAGATACTTTTAGGAAATGTTTCTAGTTTCTTAATTACTTTCAAGGGCAACCTAACGAAAAATAACTAATAATTAAGAAGTGGTTGTAGACGTATGCCTGCTTAGATGTGTACCTACATATACCTAATACATTCTGGTATTAACAATTTAAAAACTCTGCCATGGAAGCATAATTTATATCTTTTTCTTCCTATGACATATAATCAACAGACCATTAAAGCTTTGGCCAGACGTATATTTAGGTAGGGACTAGGGAGTTTAAAAGTAAAATATTGATTGGTCACCAAAAGGAAACCCCTAAATTTTACGTCTGCTGTTAATATTTTGACTAATTTAACTCTGCTAAACAGCTGATTCAATTTAAATGGAGTTATAATCAATGGTTTAGAAAGTGTTACTGTTAGCTTTAACAAACCTATTCTTCTCTTACATTAATCATTGAGTAACATGAAATTTATTAATCACATCCTACAATGTTACAACATAATTATCAACTATGTACCTACAGCAAAAATGCTATCCTATGCAGTAGTATATTTAGACCCATCACGATAAGTCATTTTTTCCTTTCTTACAGGTAGCCTTTTATCTTTTACAAACAACTGTTAGTTATTTACATCTTCAGGCCCCCAAAGTAAATTTCATTCTCTACTACGCTCTGTTTTAAGACCACTATCCCACCCAGGGGCGTTGTCTCTTAAGAGTCTTCCGTTTATCGATTCCAGGAAGTTTAATGTTACATTGGCGCCAACGGCGTGTCTCAAGCTTCTGACAAACAACCTATAACGTCAAGTTTCAACGTTTAATATCGAGTTTTAAAAGTTAGTAAAATATGTTATGGGGATAACGTTGTCTGATTTGTAGATATGTAGAATTTTTAGCAATTTCAAGTGTAACCTAATTAACATAAATAGCAGGATTCAATTATCTCGTATAACTATCGGAAAACATTCATTGGGTGTGATACAATTATGGATGTGTTTTTATCGCAAAAGAAACCCATACAATTAATTATATTCGTAGAAGAAGTCATAAGTAAAATTATGCTTCACAAATCCCCCCCGAGCCCCTAAAACACTCGAAAAAACAACAAATATACTGTCAGTTTAGATCAGGGCTAGAGATCTATAGCCCTGAATTTGGATGGCGAAATGGAATATTTTTCCGCTTTATGAGATTCCCCTTTTCAGAAACAAACAATGCATGAACTAACAGAAATAACCCAGAAAACTTTAGTTGAAAAAAAAAATGGAATACATCTACATTTAAATGGAGTTTTTGATATCAATCCGGAAACATGTATGTGTCAATTGTAAATGTTGAATGTAAATTTGCAGGAAATATATATTATTTCATGCTGGTTTGTCTTTTATAGATGTACTTTACCAATTATTAATCAAAAGAGTACTTGCAAAATTACAGATAGTTGTTGATAAGATAAGAGACGTGGAAGTTGCATACCTGCATTCTAGCGCCAGCGGCCATGTTTGAAATGTTAACAGCTGATTTGTGATTCACAGCTCAATCATACCCCCCTCTCTGACTGAAGTTATCATTACATTTGAACTTGTGAACCATAAGAACATTATCTTCGTTCGATGATTAAGACGACATAAAATAGACCGTACGGCTAACAGGAATTTCCATTTAAAATCATATGACTTATTTATAATTCATGTTGCACACTCGTGCTTCGGAACAAGGAAAGGACGCAGAAGAGATTAACGTAGTATAAAATATAGTATAACGTGGTATAAAATAGTTACATTGCCACCATTGATTTTGAAAACAAAGCTCAATTTGTAACCCTTAGTTTAACAAAATTAATTTACTTTTCATTCAGTTACGGGATGAAAACAGTCATTAACTCCACTAAGTGGCGGCTCACTTTGAAATTTGACCGTATGATTGAGTATGTTAGGTTGAGCTAGATTACGTTAAGTTAGGTTAGGATAGGTTAGGATGACACCCAAATACATTCCTTCTGCCGGCAACTCATCCCTACCGGGCTTGAGCTTGGCGCAACTAAGGATCATGTTTGGACCCTTTGAGGGCTTGGTGCAATTAAGGAACTCTTTGGCGCAACTAATGCACGACCAACTACAAAAGGGGAGGTTCTTTTGACCAACCCCTAGAACAAGATATCGGGTTGACCCCTTTGAAAATTTCCTGTGGTGCTCTTATTGTTTATGTGTCATCCTATGTCTACGATATTCATTTTCTCTTGTTTCATTGTAAACAAAGTTGATTAGTGCAATTGTAAACAGTGTGCGTTTTTTGTCGTGGTAATTCAATTTAAAGGCTGACCAATGCCATAAATACCCACTTTCAATAGCTACGTTTAGGTCGTTCTATAAAATTAAATTTTCGTGTAAACAAATTCTACTGCACTAACGATTTTGAAATCAATGTAATCAAAAGTCACCAGTTCATATATTCAACGGGTCGTGTGACTGTCCAGTCTCGACTCTGGTCCAGTTGGTCATTTAAACGCTGACGCGCTCGAAATAGAAATGTTTATGTTGTCATCTCCGAGAATAAAACCGTACGAGCGCCAGCTCAATGAAATATGCGAACACATGCGTTACTATGCACGATATGGCACGCGTAGTGGAATGTTAATACGACAAGAATATTAATGAGAAAATTAACAGTATGTTCATGTCAACTACATCGCAACATGAATGTAACTTCAAAAGGTCGCTGAAACATTGTGCTAAGTGCTCAATGAATAATTGCTTTGATTGTTGCGATTTAATGAATGACTTAGGAATCTCTCTGCCAGATATTTGCATCTCAATCGTACAATATTGTTCATATCAGCATTGGCTTTGAAAATTACAAAAGACATTTTTTCCTTTTATAAATTTTGAACAATGTAACTTTTTTCATGTCCAGTTGGTTTTAAATGCACTTTTTTGTCCTAGGCGGCTAGGCACGAGCCTGGGATTGTCTTTCACATTACTTCAGGCTAGACCTAGTGGTTGCGGCATTATCACTTGGATAAAATCCATTTGTGACTTGGCGGGGATCGAACCCGGGACCTCAGGGAAGTCCCGCGCTCTAACCACTACGCCAGCTCGCTCCCCAAATAAATGCACTGATGGCTACTAATTATTTTTTGTATTTTGGGATATGTTCTCTAACTTATACGTTGTTCTTTAGTTACAATTGCAGAAGGTGAGCATTTTTTTTATTCATTGAGAAGTACTTTGACTTTGTCAAGTAGCCCGTAATGTTGATCATTAACAACTCTTTTAGCTTATTTACAGTTTGCGATAATCGATCATGGAAGCGAAAGCTTGAATAGACCCCTTTCTGTGTTGGTCCTGGAATAAAATGGGGGCCTTAGTCACTAACAAGACTACAAGATCGCGCCACTCATCCTACACTCATCCTTCACTCATATTTGGGTTAAAATACGCACATAGTGGCGTCCCCATCTTAAATAATTGATAATTGATAATTGATAATATTGAACCGACACAATTAGATGTACCAATCCTTATTGTTGAGCGGAGCGAGCGAAGCGAGCGAAGCTCTTATACGTCGACTTTATTGCATTTCGTAATACGCAAACTCCTCCTAGACGGCTGAATCAATCGTTTTCAAATTTTGGATGGTGATAAAGACCATATCGGTGAGTGCCAACATCTATATGGCGTTAAAAATAACTCTCAGGAATCCGCCCCACTGGGTCTCAAAGTTTCAATGTAATCCTTATGGAAGCAGTATTTGACACATAAACAAAGACATATGATCAGCTGTTGAATTTTGAATGCAGTAGATAAAG